AATCGTGTAGCATGATGTATATCCATAGCTCAAAAATAGTAACAGGATGGCAAACCATTCTTCAGCGCTTTTCTGTGTATGTCATTTTTCACTATTATCATCTAACCATGTACTATTACTATCTTTATTAGTACTATCATTATCATCATTAGTACTATCATAATCATCATTACTACGATCATATCATCATTATACGATTCATTTTCACCCAGGTGCATCATTTATTACCATCATTATTAGTATTATCATCATTATTAGTATTACTACTGTTGTTGCTGTCATTAATATAGTTGACGTTGTTATTATCACCATTATCAAACCTACTATATTATTAGCTGCAATTCATGTGGGTTGTTATACATGTATGTTTGGTAACATGGTGTGTCGGCAATATTCCAATTTAGACTATATGAATATTAATAAGTATTGTTGTCTAGCTTTGGTGAAAGTTATCGTTACGATAATATTGTTCACATCCCAGATGTGTGGAATCTGGTAGAAGCAACAGGAGTGAAGCAAATACATATATACTGTAAACATTTGTGCAATACATACATACATTCACACACGAGGGAGGGAGAGAGGAGGGGGAGGGAGGAGGGAGAGAGAGAGGGGGAGGAGCGAGGTGAGAAGAGGACGGCCGAGGGGGGAGGTGCAGAGAGAGGGAGGGAGCTCTATCCCGAGAGTGGAGAGCAGGACTGGGAGGGAGGCAGAAGGAGGTGTGAGAGGGAGGAGAGAGAGGGGGCGAGGGAGCGAGGAGAGACAGGGGGAGGTGAGGCGAGGGAGGATCGAGAGGGACAGGATGGAGAGAGAGAGAGGCGGATGTGAGGATGAGAGAAAAGAGAGGAGAGCAGCAAGAGAGAGAGATGATGAGAGAGGAATGAGATGACGACGAAGAGAGAGAAGATAGGAGAGAAGAGAGAAGCAAGAGATGAGGTCACGGATGGAGCGGGAGGGAGGAGAGAGAGAGGACGAGAACGAGAGGATAGAGAGAGAGTGCGTAGGGAGGATGAGAGAGAGAGAGACTGAGGAGACGAGAGAGAGAGAGAGGAAGATGAGATGAAGAGATCGAGAGAGACCTGCTGCAGAAGACAGAGAGAGAGAGATGAGAGAGACAGAGAGGAGGGAGAGGAGGAGGGAGGGAGGAGAGGAGAGAGAGAGAGAAGAGAGAGAGGAGAGAGAGAGAGAGAGAGAGAGAGAGAGAAGAGAGAAGAGAGATGAGAGAGAGAGAGAGAGAGAGAGAGAGAGAATCCACCCGTCTATTTCCCGTATTTAAGTAACAGTGGGCCTATTAAAAGAGTAGGTTCCCCCCCTCCCCACCCACCCCCGTGGTCCCATCTGACAACTCCATTATCTCATCGGTACTGAGTAAAAGTCTCATCTGACTGTTTTTCCTCGCCTCTTTATCTTCACGATCGCTAACCTTTTTTCTCCTCCCTCCCCTCCACCTGACTGATCTTTCAGTATCCCCGGTTTTACTTTCTTTCTTTCTTTGACAGCTGTTTTTTTCTGCTGGCCTTCTTCCTATCCTACTATTTATCATTATTATCATTACTATTATTCATCATTATTACCATTATTATCATCATTATCATTATGCCCCACCTTCTCATTTTTTACCCACCTAACTCCCGCTAATCTCTCTTTAAGAAGAACACGCCTTACTTCAGAGTGGACTCAGGCAAACGGGTTCATTCAAGCCCTGAGAAGAGGAGGCAGTGCAGCCCTCAGCCAGAGTGCCACGTCGCCCGTCAGCCCGATCGCCCAACCGCCGCCCACCAAAAAATCACCTGGTCGCCCACCTACCCGTAGAATCACCCTGGCCGCCCACTCGCCTATAACGATAACCAACAGACCTACACTGCGTCTAAGGGACAATGTGCTAGTGGAGAGGGAGGGCTGAATGCGGGAAAACAAAAGGGATAGGGAGGGAGGGCGGCGACGAAGGGAGGGGTGAGGCGAGAGGGAGAGAGGGGTGAGCGAGGGTGAGAGGCTAATGCAGTGTAAGGGAGGAGCGAGGGAGGGAATCGAGGGAGCTCGAGGGAGAGAGCGGGGGAGGCTGAGGCTGTCCTGGCCTTGTTTCCCCGCGTGTCGATACAACCAATGTACGTTCCCGACACGGGTACTTTGCCGGATAGATGAGGCACACTTACAGGAATGAGCTCTGACCATATGGCTGCGCTCACTTCTCCCCCCCCCCCCCTCTCTCTCTCCTCTTTATGTTCCCCATCTCCCAGTATCACTCTCCCCGTTACTCCCTCCATTCTTCCCCACATATTCATTTCTCCCTGTCTTCCCTCTTTACCTTTCCCTACTTCCTTCTACCCCCCTCCCATCCTCTCTCTTCCTCCTTTCTCGCCTTCCCTCCCTCTCATCTGCCCTCCTCAACAATTCCCTTCTTCCTCCCTCTCTCTCTTCCTTCGCACTCTCACCCACTCTTCCATTCTCTTCAACATTATCTCCCGTACCCTCAACTCCCCATTTCTCTCACCTCTCACCT